ATATTATATTGTAATATTATCATTATACTTTTGCTTTCCTAATTTGGAAGCAGGAGTGGAATCCACTTCCAAAGGAAAACTTGCCTTCAGAAATTCTGTAAACTTGGAGAAAAGATGAAAGTTTTGTGTTCAAGAATTTCGTACATATCATTGCTATGGGTCATCTATGACTTTAGAGTATTTAACAACAACAGTTATTACTTCTTCTGTCGTCCTGATTCATTGTCCAGTTCTCTGATGCCTAAGAACTGACTGATGCAATAAATTCAAGTGTGTCAGAAAGTGTAAAGACGGCACAGGATAGATAGGACAGGGTTCAGATATGTAGTTCATTGTTTTGCTCTGGGTTATACTTGCCTTAAGGACAACAACAGCATAAGGAAAAAATAGGACATAAGACTGATAGTGTAAAAATAGACGGCTAACTGAGCAAGATATACTTCAATGTTCAAAATAGAGGTGGGAAGGACAGAGGTAGTAGAAGAAGAGAAGTGGATAAAACACTCGGACAACAGAGATTAGTGGGCAGAGGGGTGAGGTCAAGGATGAATAACAAAGATTGGACGAGAAGCGGATATAATAGTAATAAATCAATTTTTGTTACATTTCATCGAGTGGCCTGTGACTCATAGTGAACCTATGTACAGTACCTCTGAACTCTGCTTTATCCTGAGTAAATATCATAGTCCCTGAGACACCTACTGCCAATACTCCAGTTACTGTGCCAACCCATCTTATCTGGTATCTTCCTCTCCTGTGCAATCCCTCCACCCTTACAAGCATGATGACCTTTTCCAGTGTCTAGTCTCCCAGCCACATACCAAATGTATGTGAGGTGAAGCCTAAATCCTTGCTCCCAAGGTGCAGCCTGTTTTCACCCTCTCCAGGTCAAAACTGTTTGTTCTCTTGGCATTCCATGGTATGTTCAATACTTTTACCCAGCACCACAACTCAAAGGCACCAATTCTTCTCCTAACAACCCCTAGTCACTGTCGACCTCTCTGATGCACAGCAATTAATTGTGATGACCATGGCCTAAATCAGGTGCACCTTAGAATCAGGACTGACATCATTGTTCTTCAGCACTCTGGAGAGGTCCCTGACAGCAGTTTTCCCTGAGCAATTAATCTTTTGATTTCTTGACTGCTGGTGCCAAGGGTTTTGATTGTGGAGCCAAGCAAGCTGAAATAGTTACAACCTCAATCTCTTTTCCATCTATCATGGTGCTCCCGAGGAGAAAAGCAGTGAAAATCTTTGACTTCTTGATGTTGAGCTTCAATTCATATCGAGAACTACAGTCTTCTGAAGCAAACACTTCAGGTGCTGCTCAGTTTCTGCAAGCAAGGTTCTGTCATCTGCATAGCGTAGGATGTTGAGAAGTCTTCCTCCAAGCCTGATGCCGCATTCCTCCACATAAAGTCCAGCCTCCTGAGTGATATGTTCTGCATACAGATTGGAAAAGGTATGGAGACAGCACACATCCCTGAAACACTTCTTTCCTAATTTTGATCCATGCAGCGGTTTGGGTTTTTTCTGTGTTCTGAAGGCTTCTTCCTGGTTCAAGTATTGCTTTCATATCAGCACAGGATTTCACTTGTCTGTGATATTAGTGATATTTTTATAATTTTCACACATTGTTGGATTATCTTTCTTTTCTGAAATAGGAATAAATAGGGATCTCTTCTTGTCAGTTGCTCAAGTAGCTGTCCTCCAGATTCCTTGGCCCAATCTGGTAAATGTGTACAGGGATGCATCTGTTTGCATATGTCAATTGATAGTTCATCAATTCCTAGGGCCTGGTTTCTTGCCAATTCACTGAGACCAGCTTGAATTTCTTCCTTCATCACTCTTGCTTCTTAATGATATGTTGTTTCATGAAATTCTTCTGTGCAAGCTAGTTTGTTGGGGGGTTTTTTGTGGGTTGTTTTTTTTTTTTACAGTGACTCTGCACTCCTCCCATCTTCTTATGTTTCCTAGATCATTCAATATTCTGCCCATAGCATCCTTAATAATGTAACTCAATGCTTGAATTTGTTCTTCAGTTCCTTGAGCTTAAAGAATGCTGAGCTTGTTTGTCCCTTTTGATTTTCCCACTCCAGCTCTTTGCACATTTCATTATAACATTTTGCTTTAAGCTGCCCTTTGACATATTCTGTTCAGCTCCTTTCTGATTTCTGAGTCCTACCTCTGCTTCAGCTTCTCAGTGCTCAGAGTCTCTTCTGGCACCCATCTTTCTCCTGCATTCTAATAATAACATTTTGTATTCTTCATCTTTGCTCACTAGTGTTCAAGGCCTCAAATCGGTTCTTGAGATGGTTTTTAACTTAAGATGGAATCAAATTTTGGTTCTTTTGGGTTTGCTTTAGTATCTTTAGTTTCTGTTTGACCTTGCAAGGTAACACTGCATGGTTCAAACCCAAGAAAGGAGTGTGTCAGGGACGTGTCCTGTGTCCATACTTTTTCAATCTACATGCAGAACAGTTTATTCAGGAGGCTGAACTTTATAACGAGCAATGTGAGATCATGATTGCAGGAAGACTCACCAACAATCTATGATATGCATATGATAAAATCTTATTGCTGAAACTAAGGAGGGCCTGAAGCATTTGCTGCAGAAGGTCAAGGGCTGTAGTCTTCAATATGAATTGCAACTCAACATTGAGCAAGATTCTCACCACTGGGCAAAGTGGTAGCACCATCATATGTGGAGAAAAGATTGAGGTTAACAGTTTCAATTTGCTCAGATCCACAATCAACGCTCATGGCACCAGAAGTCAGGAAATCAGAAGACAATTACATTAAGAAAATACACTGTCAGAGAGCTCTCCAGAGTGCTAAAGAGCAGTGATATTATTCTAGTAATAAGGTGCATATATCTGAAAAATAATCATTTTAACAGATCTTCTTTGTTTGTGTATTGATAGAATCCTATCACTCACAGCATAGATTTTTAGGGTTGCTCGTAAACTGTCATGTTAACTATAAATGTAACACCATTATTCCTCAGTTTTTCATTACCAGTATAGTAGATCATGGTGTGTTGTTGTATACTGTAGAGTTGGAACTGACCTATACTTGACCCTTCAGTGAGTTTTCAGAGACAGTTACTCTCACAGGAGGAGATTGTCCACCTGTCTCCTAAGTCAGAGTGATCCATGCCAGTCCATCTCAGCTTGTTGATGGCTAGAATGTTGACTTCATGCATACCATTTCAATTTTGTACAGTCTCCCATTTTCCTAAATTCATACTGCTTACATTCTATATTCCAAATAGAATTCGTTGTTAAAGCAATTTCTCCTCATTTTTTGTGACTTTCATCTTGATTCTTCCTGTTGTAATATAACTGCCCAAGTTCCTCTGTTGTTCACAGGATTTAAGCAAGGAAACTATTTTGCATAATAGAACAATTCAGCAAAGTCAAGATCAAAACACAAAAATAAATTAAATTTCTTCACAGTAGCAAAAACACAATAAAAAGAACAGTATCAATTGCAATAGCTAACCAGGAAATAAAACATTTAGGAACAAATCTAACTAGAGAATCAAAAGACCGATATAAAGAAAATAATGAAACACTACTACTGATGTCAGAAGGATATTAACTGAAAGTAAAATGTTTATCTGTTTTTTATTAATTATATAAAGCATTTGTCTGTGTAGGTCATAACAAACTATGCCTAACATTAAGAATGGGAATTCTAGAATACCTAAATATGCTTCTACGAAATCTATACCTAGGTGAAGAAGCTGCTGTCTGAATAGAGAACTGCTTAAAAGGAATATATGATTAGATATTATTTGAATGACAAAAGTCTGGAATAAGAGCTGTATAGTAAAGTGGACTGAAAGGGGCAGGGGAATTGTACAACAACGAATGATTTTTTTTTTCATAGAGAAAAGAAAACTGGGAGAAAAATGAATGGAAATCCAAGTTCTCTATAACTTTTATTAAAATCTAATTAACAAATAAAATTGGGAAAGTTATGCATTAAGTCTGTATCCTAACTCTATATCTAGTCAATCTGTACACTGAGCAAATAATTTGATAAGCTGGACTCTGTGAAGAGGAATGCATTATCAGGATGGAAGGAAGACAGCCACAACCTGTGTTAATGCAAATGACACAACTTAGCTTGCTGGAAGTGAGGAGGCCTTGAAGCACTTGCTGCAGAAGGGCAAGAAATGCAGCCTTAAAACTGGACTGCTAACTGGAGAAAGCTGAAACAAGATCCATATCTCACATCATATACAAAATCAACTCATGGTGGTTCTGAGTCATGGGAATAAAGCCCCAAACCATAACAAACTAGCACAAATTGGGATCAAGCTTAGAAAGCTTAGTCTACAGTATAAAGATACTGTCAAATACAGCCAGAAGTGCACAATTCGAAGAGAATAAAATTGATGAATGGGACCTTCTAAATATTAAATCTCTGTACTACTCAAAAACTTTTTCTAACAGGGTGAAAAGAAAACCTACTGACTAGGAAAAAACAATTGGCAATACCATTTCAGACAGGGTCTCATCACTCAAGTTTACAGAATCCTATAGGGTTTCTACAAGGAAAAGATCAATATAACACAATTATAAAATATGCCAGAAGCATGGAAAGACCCCAAGGCCACAGCGCAGGATCTTTCTAAGGTCCCATAGAGGGAGAAATAAGGAAATCCTGGCAGGCAGAGAAGAAGGGCACCAAGAGTCCTTGAAATCATCCACCCACATTCCAGGTAAATGTGGAGTCCCCAAGACCGCAGCGAGGGATCTGTTTCGGGCCCTAGGAACAAAGGAAAAAACCTATCTACACACCAGCTGTACAGGACACATCACCTTCGCTCGGAAGCATTGCCACTGAACTTAAGAGACACTGGTCACATCATAAGAAACTGTCTGAAGCTGACATATTTACAATCACAGAAGCCAAGGAAGCTTCAGATATAAGCTATCAGATCAAGGGTGGGACAATGGGAGATGTATGTTGAAGGGAGTAGATAGAAGTGGATGGGTTTGCTGGTGAATGGTGGAGTAGGGAAATAAGTGGGTAAAGACACGTGTGCCAAGGGCAGGGACAACACTGATACGAACCTCCACAATAAGGGATATATCTTTCACTTCTCTGTAAAATGCTGGTCTGTCTGACACATCTCTAAATCTGATCATTCAGATTAAGACAGACTAGGAAGAAGGATTGGCCATCCACTTCTAAAATAGCAGGCCTCCATTTTTGGAGGCTTTTGCCTATGTATAACAGAATACATGTAGATAACAGAAACGGCAACTGAGGCTGAGCTTTCAAGTATGGAAATACAAAGGAAGAGGAACAGTTGTGAGCAGACACTAGTGATTGGGACATGGAATGTGAGAACCATGAATGTAGGAAAATTAGATATTGTTAACGAAGACATGGAACAAATAAATATTGGCATACTAGGCATTGGTGCGCCTGATACAGGCCATGGTCTTTGCAATCACTTGTTATGCATCAGAGAATTGGACAATGACTAGGGAGGACAGGAGAATTGATGCCTTTGAGCTGTGGTGCCGGAGAAGAGTATTGAATGTACCATGGACTGCCAAGAAAACAAACAGAATCATACTGGAGAGGGTTAAACCAAGCTACTTCTTGGAGGCAAGGATTCTGGGGCTTCGTCTGACATACTTTGGGCATGTTGCGAAGAGGGACAGGTCCTTGGAGAGGGGCATCATGCTTGGTAGTGTGGAGGGACAGCACAGAAGGGAAAGGCCCTTTATGAGGTGGATTGATTCAGTGATTGGGGTAATTGTGATGGGTGTATCGGAGATGGAGCGATTAGCACAGGACAGAGCAGTGTTTAGGGACGTTGTACATAGGGTCTGTATGAGTAGCAAGTGACTCGACAGTACATAACAACAACAACAACAACAACATGGAAAGACTTTTCACAGAGGAAAACATTCAGA